GTTTTAGTAACAGATAGTTCGTTACGATGACAACATACGTATACGAAATTCACTCCGGAATGGCCTATCGCTTCGTATAGTTGGAAAAGAAGCATGGTGATTCCCAATTCCCATTTTTTTTCGTGCATTATTTTACTTGGAAGAAAAACTAACAATTAGCAAAGTAATGCAATTTTTTTGGAAAATGCAAAAATGTCGTATTCTTAGGTAAAATGTTTTTGCCATTACATACTTTTTTATTTTTTGTATAATGGAAGATTTTAGCGGTGCAACACAGCATGCAAAATTTGAACATATGTCACCAGACAAAATAGAGAGATATAGCCCATTGTTTTTCTAAAATGGAAAATTCTAATGACGTCAGTAATTGAGATAAACGCTATAGAACACGCGGAATGATGTGCGATGGCGTGAGCTACTGCCACGTCAGGTCATTTTGGAAGTTTTATTTCATTTTGTTAAACAGTTTCCGCGACTTGCGTAAAAAATGGTCACCCGATTTTGTTCGTGTGATAACTATATCGAGCCATCTTAATACTATTATATATTGAACGTATTCATAACCAACTTCATACATGTTACTTAAGCAGGCAATGTTAATACATAATAACATCATGCAGAGGTGGAAAAATTTATCCTTCCTGGGGACCTGGGTTCAAGGCTCAAAATGTTCTGCAAAGATTACTATACTGTTTCGTGTTGTCGTGTGAAACAATATGTCGTTAAGACTAATAAGGCATACAAGTTACTCCTAAACTAAAGTAATTATAATTGCTTCATACGACAACACAAGACAGTATTTTTGCCTGTATGTAATAATTAGCCTTGAATTCCTCATTTTGAGGGTTATAGGTGAACAGAGTGATAGATAGTTACAGTCTTACAGGATTGAGAATTATAGAATTATTATTTCCTATAACACAGGCAACATGAATATTTTCGATTGAAGTGTTCCGCCAGTAGACTAATTATGTATTCAATCATTTCAATAATTATAGGTATTTAGCATTTAGATATTCAATCAGTGTAATTTTCAGAATTAGGCCTGTTTTATATGTCGAATTTTTGTCGCGTCTAATAGATAATGAGATGATAATCCTCATTAAACTTCATTATCTATTGTTTGAATTGCATTCGACGCGACCGAAATTCGACGTATAAAACAGGCCTAAGCTATCAAACATAAATAATGTATGTGAAAATTTCTGAAAAATGTAAATCAAAAAAAAATTCTGGGAACTGTATAGGTTCCCAGGTTCCGATACTTTTTCCACCTCTGCAGAATATGCATCCATTATATACTTAAAATAATGATACTGAACCCGTATTTCAGAATCTGTTTAAATTATAACTAAACACTAAAACACTAAACAGATGAAAGCAATGTCTAAAACAATTGCATATTCTAAATTTTGAGTGCCAAAAAGATTATAGATATAGTATTGTTTGTTTTAGTATGCCTTTACTGTCTAATTATTCACTGTCTAATTTTTACCCTTCACTCGTTCTCATTATATGCATACTGAAGAAGAGTGTTATATAAATCTAGCGCTTCGTTCCAATGTGCGGGTTGTCCTAGGTGACACATGCCTGAAACATACCTGAAGTAATCTTGAAAACAATTTTGATAGTCACTTTCAATGATATGTGAACGAACGTAGTTGCTTTCATGCTCACCTACAGGTAGTAAGAACCGTGTTCATTAACTCCATGTAGTTCAGGAAGGTAGTACAGTGAGTCCGGTCTGCCACTAACAGTGTCATATCGGGATTTTCGAATACGATGAGTATTCCAATGTTCTTTTATTTCATCTAAGGCGTTCTGAAGCAGCTGGGAGAAGCAAAACCATAAGCATTCCATTTCCAATTCTGAAGTGAGATCTACGACTCTGTTATCCACCATATCTTTGAAAAAATTTATCCACCAAGTTGAATGTAATCTCCTTAAGAACGCCCACCAAGCCTCTATTCGTTGGTTTCGCGGCGACGGCACATATCTGTGACTATCTGGGTCATCTCTTAGAAATGATTGGATTGCTGCCATTGTGCCATTCTCTGTGCCAAGGTCAGTCACAAGATCAACTGGACATCCGCCATATTCTTCCACAGCATCTAGATAATATGCAGCTACATTATTTGGTTGATTATTTGATCTCGTTACGTATAACCATAGTATTTTTCTACTCCAGCCGTCGATACATCCATGAATAGGGAATCCATACGGCTTGAGTTTATCGTACCCGTCACAATGCCAAGAATAGTTCGGACCAGGATTGTGATATCTTCTCCTTTTTAACCGGTGAGCCTTTCGCATTTCAGTCCCTTCAGGATCTAACTCTTTCAGAAGTTGTTGTATAACAATACGCGGTATTCTAACTCCTCTAAGCTGCAGTGTATGCCATACGGACCTGTATCCTTGCAAACATCCAGGACCATTAATAAGACTTTGAATGGATGCCCTTGCTTCGTCAATGTCATATTCTGGTAGCTGCCGCCTAAGTCCGTACCTTCGCAATCGTCGTTTAAATGTGGCCATGCTCATCTGAATATCATGATTTTGTAATAAAAATAAAACGATTTCCTTATAATCAAAACCTCTATAGAAATAGTAGCGAATGAGGCTTTCTTCGTCCTCTTCATGCGTTTCGAAGTGATCGTTTTCTAAACCGTCTTCATTGGCATCTGCCATTTTGTCTAACACGTTAACAGCTTACGTCCATCTGCCGTGAAGTTTTTTACTTTGTTTGTGCCGTGGACTTTTTGTTCGTGCCGTGAAGTTCTTGTTTGTGCCGTGAAGTTCTTGTTTGTGCCGTGAAGTTCTTGTTTGTGCCGTGAAGTTCTTGTTTGTGCCGTGGAGTTTTTGCTTGTGCCGTGGAGTTTTTGTTTGTGCCGTGGAGTTTTTTTGTGCCGTGGAGTTTTTGTTTGTGCCGTGAAGTTTTTGTTTGTGCCGTGAAGTTTTTGTTCGTGCCGTGAAGTTTTTGTTCGTGCCGTGAGTTTTTGTTCATTCCGTGGAGTTTTTGTTTGTGCCGTGAAGTTTTTGTTCGTGCCGTGAAGTTTTTGTTCGTGCCGTGGAGTTTTTGTTTGTGCCGTGGAGTTTTTGTTTGTGCCGTGACCCCTATGGGCCACCGTAGTTTTCTACTAGCGAATTTTTCTGCGCGAAGCGACCTTTTTCCTTTGTCGGCATCCATTTTGCAGCCCTCGAAAAGTCAATTTCTTAAAATCTGTTCCACGTCTTGGAGCACTATTAATCACGCATTTACGAATCATTAAAATCGGAATATAACTGGAACGTTACCTCCAGCCGGAAAATTCGAAAGTTGGAGCCAAATTTTAACTCCAGACGCGCGAAACTTTATCTTCAAACATCTAACGTATATACGCAATACCCGTCAGTTTTTAAACCTTACATCGTAGTGTGTTCAGTTAATCGAATTCGCTGACATTTTAAAAGCTATCAGCATAAAAAATTTTTACTTTGGTTGAATTAAGGTGGGCAAAAATTTGCATTTAGCCCGGCATTGCCGAATGTCGACCTCGTTTTCGAGGACTGATTTTGCCACGTCTTGCTGACGCAATAAGTGATACCGACAAAGGAAAAAGGTCGCTTCGTGCGAGAAAATTCGCTAGTGGAAAACCGACTTTATTGCCTCTTTTATAAAACAGTATAATAAACAACAACAACAACAACAACAACAACAACAACAACAACAACAACAACAACAACAACAACAACAACAACAACAACAACAACAACAACAACAACAACAACAACAACAACAACAACAACAACAACAACAACAACAACAACAACAACCAAACAAATTTAATTACCTAATTATGATTTCAATAATATTATGTTTTTGGACTAGCTGCCAGAAGTAAGTACTGTATTCGAAAAAATTTGCATTGCTGCATGTGGTTTCTTTGATGCATGCTATTCGTGATATTCGGTTTGAATTCAATTATTCAGGAGGTCAATTTTGGTTTCTTCAGTGGTTATCTTTAGCCAATCCAGTTTTGCCGACTGAGATAACAATTTGCCGATTTGCTGATTAGTGGGGGGGTGTTCACGCTGCCTAATGCGTTTTACAGAAGACTGTGTTGTAGCTTATTAAAATTCTCATTATCTCAAATTAACAGACGAAATGATCGCTTTGATAGCTCTTAAAGTCAGTGTCACTTTCAATGTCAGTGGAATTATCACATGTTTGGCAAGGAAACGTTTTCTTTCTAAAAACTCATTATGCAGTGTGACATCATACAAGTCACATATGTGTATCAAACAAAGTCAAAAATCTTGACATACAGGAAAGATTATAACGTTTTAGAAAACAAGTTATATTATGATTTTAAATGAACTTTCCAATTCAATCATAAAAAACATTGTCGCATAGGCACTTTAACACTCATTGTTTAACACTTACAAATCCTTCAAAACTTAGAAATTACCGATGCAAAATGCAAAATTCCTACTGTGATCACAGAAACTTTGAAAGACAGTACTCCACAAATGGCGAATATTGGCCCACATGTGAAAGGCTAATTAGTAACGCATTACTTTGTATTTAGAACACTGTAAATAGAGACCTTACGATTTTAGGACGGTAACGCGACGACAACGGCCAAAACAAGCTCATTCAAATAAATGGTAGCAAAGATAATTTGTGGTATATAGTATCAATCGTATGAATTTAATACAGTCTTAGAAGTTGAAGACATGAGTTTTATGGTTGGGAAGAGTTCTGCTGAACCCAGTTTGAAGTTGCACTTGTTGCATCAAGACGTGAAAATCTGTGATTTGGCGTTGTAAACAGAGCGAGGACAATGTCTAAATTATTCATATATTGTAGTTATTCAATTCTTTTCAATGATCAGCCGTTGCCGTCGCGTTGCCATCCTAAACCGTAAGGTCTCTAGTATGGGAAGCGGGAAGGAGGTGGGCCGGTGGAGAAGGTAAGGTTGGGAGTTAAGTAGGCTTGTGTATAAAGTGTGAATGGGACATGGGGTATAAAGAATGGGTGTGAGTAGGTGGGGGTGTGAGGTAAGTAAGGTTGTGAACAGCAAGTGGGTAGGTGTGAAAAAGGGGTTATGGGTGGGTAGGGAGATGGGGTAAGTATGGTTGTAGAACAGCAAGAAATGGGCAGCTGTGAGATGCGAAGAAGGGGTCTAGGATGTGTAGGGGAGTGAGGTAAGTATGGTTGTGGAACAGCAAGAAGTGGGCAGTGGAGGGTGTGAAGAAGAGGTTAGGGTCGGTAGGGGTGTAGGGTAAGTATGGTTGTGGAACAGCAAGAAGTGGAGGATGTGAAGAAGGGGTCTATGGTTGGTAGGGGTGTGGGGTAAGTATGGTTGTGAAAGAGCAAGATGTGGGCAGCTGAGAGTGTGAATAGAGTTTAGCGTGGGTAGGGGATGCAGGGTAAGGTAATTAATTATATGTATTAAGTGGGGTGAGTACTTGGGGAGTTAGGAATGGGTAGAGGTGTGAGGTTTGTAGAGGTGCAAAGTGGGTGGGCAGGTTCAAAGTGAAGTAAAGGGCATCAGAGTGTGGAGCATTCCTCAAAAAATCCATCTTGAGCTTTTTACTTCTGACTGCTGCAGAATCTTGTAAAAAATTTCTTGCATACAGAACTTACTTAAGGTTATACTTATTTGAATCCAAGTCCTGTTTCTTGCAAACTTCTTGTATGACCTATACAAATAATTTTCACTTTGTTATCACAAAATTTAATATGGTATGGTAGCTAAAAAGCTAGCCACTTCACATGTTGTGTTAATACAAAATTTCTCTTCGAGTTATGGTCTTATGGAGTTTTGAAAAATACTATTCCCGATATCAGCATTTATTGTTTTGCTGATGGCAAATTGCCATTGGCAAAGATATTAATTAAAACTAGATTAAATAAATTTTAAGATTAAAGATTAAATTTGGTTATAAATACTTGGTTAAGGTTAAAAAGTGATGTCCGGTCCAACCATAAACAGTTGTTTAGGGATCACATCCATATTCGAGTTGCCACGCAAAATGTAAAATTGACATTCTGGTGCCTAGGTAGATGGTTCAAAAATATTATTCTTTGACGTTTTCACAAATTAAACAATGGCAAACAAAATACTTTTTAAATGTCTTTCCATAAGGTATGATACACTTGAGGTTTTCAAGGCTGGTTGGGCGGTTTTAGATAAAGAAACGTCAATTTGACGTTATGCGTCGCAACTAGAAATATTTATATGGAAGAGCCCCTTCACCCAATGAGTGCCAGCGCTCTCACCTAGACCAGAGATTTTCAGGGATTTTTAGGGCCGTTAAACTCAAAAACTCAATCCCAAAAACTCAATCTTGAATTGAGTTTTGAAACTCAATCTTCTCACCAAAGTTTCAGTGCAGTAAAAATAAAGTTGTTTGAGTTAAATTCGTTACGTGTGGAAATTAGTTTTCAGTTGGAAACCCGACAATCAAGAAAAAATGGCTGGCATTCATCTCACAACACAAGAAAAACTATGCATTCGCCATCTTCAGAGCTGACAAGTCTCACGGTTTACCCGTGAGTCTCCAGATTTTCGCACTGACCTCCAGGTCTCACGGTGGGTGTTGAAAATCTCACGGGATCCATTAAAATGGTCCTTTATGCATGGATTCTGCATCTATGCTCTGAAAAAACATACAATTTGCAAAAATATTGTCTGTTCTTTCGAAATAAATCCGTACGTATTTGTAAAATGACACTCCTGTTAAAAAAAGTAGTAGCGTGGAAGTATAACTAAACATAAATTATGTATGTGCGCGGGCTTATTTTATTTTTTTTACACACGCATATATGGCAATCTGGTTCCCCGAGCATACCCGGTCAACAATAATATAAAGTCAACAATTTATACATAATTTGATTAAAATTTTTCAGTATTAAATATTGTCTGCACTACTCTGTCTGGCTATCACTGTCAGGGGGGGTACGAACTATGAACTAAAGGTCCCAGCAGTCTCCAGGTTTTTAATCCTCTCAACTTGGCAGCTCTGCATCTTTAACCAGTTTATAGTGTCCCTCAGTGCCCCTGCTTTAACACATTCCATCTCAACTACATTTATTGAGTACAAGTGTCAGCCCCCCTGGTAGCAACCACCCCAGCTGTTCAGCTAAACTCAATCTTCTGTGCAAAAATGGACCCAAGAAAAAATCCTGAAAAAAACCCCCTGCTAGACGAGTAAAGTCGTCTGGCATTAGACAGAGTAAAATAATAAAGTAAGGCACATTAGGGTGCAATGCGACCTACTGGGTTAAATTTTATGCACTGGCTTTTTGGCTATAATTTATGTGCCAAATTAGTATGTCAAAAATGTCAATATGGCAGCCAAAAATTAAATGGTAAAAACAAGGGCCGATGTAAGTCAAAATTATCTTCACTGTTGGATTATACAATGCTTCTAAACCTTAAAGGGGAAGTCAAGTCCGTTCTGCACATCGGTTCTGCTCATAACAATGTGAGGACCTCTAATGTGAATATTGCCCAAATTTCGAATGTTTCGAATTTTTCTGAACATAAACTCTATTTCATATTCATTTAGAAGCATAGCGAACTAAAATGGTGTCAGATATTCAGACAGTACATCATATTTTAAAAAATAAGCAGTTCAAAATGTAAACAAACCGTTTGTTTACATTACGGACTTGACTTCCCCTTTAACTGAGGGTCACAACCACTGAATTGTATCACAGATTAGATAAGACATACAGAGACGTAACTGACCGTTGTAAACACTGCGGAAGATTACGTTATCATGCACCCACTTTTTTTATCAACTGTGCGTGCTCAGCAAGTTTAAAGTGAGTCGTCATCAGGTCGTCATCCAATCAGATGCATGCATCTAGTAACTTGCCAAGCATGCGCACAAAAAAAGTGGGTACACTAGTTACATCTCTGTATGTCTCTACTCTGTGATTGTATGTACAATTTAATTTTAACGACATTTAAACATTTGCTGACGTCAGCAATATTGTTTTTTTTTGAACTCAATAGAAACTCAACTCATGAAAAATTAAATTCTATCGACTCAGAATTTCAGGTGAACACTTGTCATAACGATCACTGATATACTTAGCATACTTTACCTGTAACAGAGTCATATGTGCAGTCAATTTAACCTTCTGTCGCCGGCCATTTGGACATTGAACATTTACTACAGTACAAGTAGCCATCTTGGAAACCGCGCTATTATTTACAAAAATGAAAGACTGGGGACTATACTTTTATTGTAAAATTTTTGGTGAAATTTCGTCAATTTTGAAAAATTTCACTACGCAGTAAAGAAGTTTTTAGCAAAATTTTGATACAGTAAATGTTTGGAGTTTTGTACGAAAGCATTTTAAATTAAGACCATGTGAAGTCCGTAATGTAAACAAATCCTTTGTTTACATTTTGAACTGCTATATTTGTAAAATAAGACATAGTGACATACTAACTGAATATCTAACACTTTTCTGGTTCGCTATTGTAAATGAATATAAACTAGAGTACGCCGTTTCAATTCAAAAAAGTTCGAAAGATGCAAAATTTGGGCAATGTTTATTTCTGCGGGTCCCCCTTTGTTATGAGCAGAACTGATTGCGCAGAACGGACTTGACATGGTCTTTAAGATTGTATGGGATAATAAGAAGATAAAGTGTTAACTAAATAAAAACTGAATAATAATGCGTACCATAATGCGTGTGTTCCGTATAACGTTCCGTATAACATTTTATTTAGCAGAGAGTTTGAGCAAGAGATCGACTTGACAAAAGAGTTTGAGCAAGAGATCGACTTGACAAATTTTTATTAGCAGAGAGTTTGAGCAAGAGACTTGACGAAATTTTTGCCCGTCCCCTCCGCGCACAATCTTGCGCATTCACAGTTCTGCGCATGCAGTGGATTAATGCGCCCAGGGCGCTGTAAATTAGCAGAGAGTTTGAGCAAGAGACTTGACTGAAATTTTTGCCCGTCCGCGCACAATCTTGCGCATTCACAGTTCTGCGCATGCAGTGGATTAATGCGCCCAGGGCGCTGTAAAACACGGGCACAGATGAAGTATACACGCGTAAAAATCATCATGTTGATGCAAGTTGTTCAAAACAGGAGCGAACAATGTTGTGCTGCACCCCGTGAACAATATTGTTAACAAGTTGTTGAACCATCAACATTGTTGCAACTTGTTGACAATCATGTTAACAACTTGCAACAGTACTGATGGTTGAACAACTTGTTAAAATTGTTCACGGGGTGCAGCACAACATTGTTCACTCCTGTTTGAACAACGCCGAACAACCTGATCAATTTTTACCCGTGTATACTTCATAGATTATAGAAGAAGAAGAACAGATGAAGTATATACTTCATTAGATACGTATATACTTCTTACTTAATCTATGACACGGGCGGTGAAACGGCTATGGCGCCCCTGATCTATGTGTGATGCAGGTTTAATACTATAGACAAAATACTTTTTCCGGATTCTTAATCACGGCTGATTATACAGGGAACGTTGTAGTGTCTGGGATCTCACTCACGAGGATCGATTGTTTTCGCAAAACAACTTAGTTCGTGTGTTTGTTTATAAGATGAAAAAAAGACGAAGATAAAGCTTTTTAAACGGCTGTTGTCGTAAAACCTGCAACTGGAATGTGTGTTTGGAAATCAGGTATGTTCAATCACACGTATTTTTGTCGAGTTCGACCAGATGAAGCGCCATAAATTGATAAAAACAGCAAGTTCTTTTTTTCAAGCGATAGTTTGTTCACTTTGTTGTCGCAGTTTACAAGCGCGGAAAAGTTTTAACTTTTAAATATTTCATGCACAATATATGAAAGCTAGCTTCATTTTGATGTTTTTGTATAACTCAAGTACCTAATTTTCTGAAAATCACCAAATGATAATGGGCTTTTTTAATTTTTAAACATTTTTTTGCCCTTATTTTTGACATGCACATGCCGAAATCTACACATGGAATACAAGCAAGCGATAGTTTGTTGTCGCAGTTTTACAAGCGCGGAAAATTTTTAACTTTTAAATATTTCATGCACAATATATGAAAACTAGTTTTATTTTGATGTTTTTGGATAATTCAAGTACCTAATTTTCTGAAAATCACCAAATGATAATGGGCTTTTTTAATTTTTAAACATTTTTTTCCCTTTATTTTTGACATTTACATGCCGAAATCCTCGCCGAAATCTACACATGCATGGAATACAAGCAATTTGTTGTCGCAGTTTTACAAGCGCGGAAAATTTTTAAATTTTAAATATTTCATGCACAATATGTGAAAACTAGCTTTATTTTGATGTTTTTGTATAATTTAAGTACCTAATTTTCTGAAAATCACTCAATGATAATGGGAGTTAGGTAACATCGAGTTGAATGGGAGTTAGGTAACATCGA